AAAAGTTAGGGACCAAAATGGAGAATAAAACACAAATTCAAGCCTTTGAAAATATAACATGATCAACAACAAAATTCCGCTAATGATAGAATCCAAATTTTATAATTCTTGTCACTCAAAAGTGAAAGTAGAGGTAGTCAGGCTGACACTGTTATTAACAGCCAACATGGCTTCGATGGATTTGAATCAGCGGTAAGTTGACAACATACATTGACATTACCGTGTAGTCTATACAGTAACATTTAGTTGACAGTATTAGCCATATTTAAAGTATAATAGGTGCTGTTTGATTTATTTATTGAAAATCTAAACAATATCAATAAGACACGATTTCAAACTCATACATTGGCAGTGAGAGAGCTGGTTTTATCTGAAAGCCGAATTCATGTATGAAATAAGAATGGCTGCATTATTATACCCGCGCTACGTCCGTGTCTCCGTGCGTCCGGAATGGTTTCCCTGAGCATAACTCTAAAACTATACCACTTACAAACTTCAAATTTGGCATGGAACTTGCTCTTATGGTGGCATTGTGCCTTTTGGGGGTTTCAATTCTGTACTGCCCAAATTGTTGAAATTTTCACCCCAAAACGGCCCAAATTTCCGACTTAGTTTTATTTCCGGAGCATAACTCAAAAACTATACCACTTACAAACTTCAAATTTGGCATGGAACTTACCCTTATGGTGCCATTGTGGATTGTGGCTTTCAATTGCATGACGCCAAAATTGAAAGTTTTCCTAAAATATTATTTTGGTATTCAATAATGTTATTGAAGGCGATCAGACTATAAGCAGGGGTATGTGAGCTGCGCTCACTTCTTCGTTGTTATTGAATGTAATTATAATATATTTATAGTATAAAACTATTGTTTTTCAGTACCCTATTATTCTATTTGTCAGCACCCAAAATATGATTATCATAAAGAATAATGACAGTGACTCCAATTTCTTATTTTTCAGATATTTAAGACCAAATATAGAGAGAATAAGTTATTATGAAGACCTTCTTGTGAAGTATTCTAACGCTGCAGACAAGGGCTGGGACACTCTTTGTGGAGAAATTGCAAAGTCAAACACAAACAAATTTGAACTGGATTTAAATCATTTGCCAAACTATCGCAATATGCAATTCAGTATTGATCATGTTGCTAGAATGTTATATCCAGATGATGCTCCTACACATCTTACCCCAGTCAGATGTTATGGAGATGGAAACTGTTTTTGGAGGTCAGCGTCTCAACTCTGCTTTGGTTTTGAAGATTATTATACTGAACTTCGAGTGAGAGGTGTTTTTTGATCTTATGAAGAACATTACTTAAACGAATCAAAACTGACAAGTGTTTCTGAAGCCAAAGGTAACGGATCACTGTTATAGTATATTTTGACGTCATCCGAAAGTCAGTCTGCAGAGGGTGACAACATGCAGCGTTACAGACATTTAGTGATGGAAACAACAAGAAATGGAGAATATTCATCAGTTTTACACATGTTCAGTTTACCAAATGTTCTGAAACGACCCGTTCAATTTATCTATCCCAAAATCCAAAATGTGGCTACACAGACATGTACTCAATCAAACAATACACCCTCTGAATGATGCGGAGGAGGAACCTGTCTGCATCATGTGGACACATTGTACAAACACAAATACTAAGAACTGGTCACCAAATCATTTTGTTGCTTGTTTGGATACTGAGAAAAAACATGTTGATGCTGACTTGGCAGAAAGTGAAAAAAAAAGAAATAAAAGAAACAGAGGACGTTGGATTTTATGTTATCAGTTCAGAGCAAGAAGCAATCTCAAAGTGAGACAAAACCATCAGAATTTCCCGGACACAAGACTCTCAGTCTCATATAAACCCAGTTCCAGACATCACCAGTGAAAGCAAGAGTAAGGATGTTTCAGTGGAGAGTTCTCTGACATATGAGCTCCAATCATCGTCCGGAAGTGATGAGGATGAACGTCAACATGTGTGCAATTCACCTTGTTGTTCTGAACTTAGTGAGCCTTATCAGCCAAATGCTGCATCAACCTTGAAAAAGACAACTACGAAACCTGAGAGATCATTCTCGTTCTCATGGTTTCATGAATATCCTGAGCTTACTCTGTGTACAACAAGAAACAAAGTTTTCTGCTTTTATTGCAGACTGGCTTACAGGACAGTGATCTGCAGAAGCATCCTACCTCTAGACAACCTGAAGCAACATTCACATCAGAAGGTTTCAACAATTGGAAAAAGTCTGGAGATAAGTTCAAAAAAGCATGATAAGTGTTCATATCACAGAGATGCCCTTGCAAAACACAAGAAACATGGTAATGACAGTGTCACAAGTTTACTTCTGGCAAAAGAAAGCTTCTGCTTGTGGAGCTGTCATGTCTCTTATTCTTATCAAGGCAAGGATTAGCGCTTCGAGGGCATATTGAAGAGGAAGACATGGTTATGTGAGAAAACATATATGTCACCTGCAATTGTGAATGAGCAATTGATGCTCCTGTGCCGAGCTGTGTGACTGAAGATTCTTGAGAGAATCAAAGCTGCCAGGTTCTTTGCCGTTATGGCGGATGAAACAAGAGACACATCAAACAAGGAACAAGTTGTCATATGTATCCGTTGGGTGTCCATGAGGATGCTATTGGCCTATATGAGGTTCCTTCCACAACATCAGCAACACTAACAGAAGTACTAAAAGACACACTCATCAATTGTGACTTACCACTATCGAATTGCCGAGGTCAAGGCTATGATGGTGCAAGTAATTTTCAAGGCCATGTCAATGCAGTTGCTGTCCAACTGCAAAGAAGAACCACAGGCAGTTCATGTCCATTGCCTCGCCCACTGTATCAACTTGGCTTTGCAGGAAGCCACTAGACCATGCAAACCTCTCAGGGATGCTCTTGGCATCACAATTGAAGTGAACAAGCACATTAAATATTCTCCAAAACGAGAACACCTATTCAAGAATCTTCAAAAAGCTCCATCCATTGAGAAGGAGTCCTCAAACTGAAAGACATGGATGTGCCTCAAACTGAAAGAACTCGTGGCTTACGACCTCTGTGTCCAACACGTTGGACAGTTTGAACAGGATCAATCAACTCTGTTTTGGAGAACTTTGACACTCTTCGAAAAGCATTTGAAGAAATCAACAAGGGTCACGATGAGTATGCCAGGGTTGCAGGCGGTTTACTTTCACAGTTTGACCAGTTTAGTGTGTATTTTGGGCTGAAAGTTTCTTCCAAAATTGTTGCTGCATCAGAGCAATTGTCTTCCTCCATTCAAAGCGTTGAAACAACGACAAAGGACGCACAAAAGGGAGCAGAGCAAGTACTCGCGTATTATGATAAGCTGAGGAGTTCTACATGTTGATGAAGCTGAAGACAAAACTGATCCTCCACGTCTACCACGCTACCGGAAGAGGCCCAAGAGATTGGATGATGCATCTAATACTCACACGTTTCCTTCTGTGGAAGATTACAGAGCAACTAAAGCGGAGATTCTCACAGAAAGGATTTAACGCTACTGTGGAGATAGAGCAACTGTTGCTGTCCGCTGCAAACGGACGGAATTTTCAAATATCTTCTGACATCAGAGAACTCTACAAAGATGATGTTGACTTTGTTCGATTGAACACACAGCTTTCCATGCTTCATGACACAGTGAAATCTGTCTCCACTGAAAGAGGATGCTTAATCATGGAAGTCACAAATATTGACACTGTTGTATCAATTATCAACTCATCACCTGTAATAAGGCACCTGTTCAAGGAGATAAGCACCCTTTTGAAGATCTACTTGACTATTCCTGTCACCACAGCAACATCAGAACGCACCTTCTCCACGCTTCGACGCCTGAAGTCATACATCAGATCTACAATGACACAGGAACGTCTGAACAACATTCTGCTACTGCATGTCCACAAATCCATTGCTTGTCCACAATTCCAGTAGTCTTCTCTCTATACACCTTTTGTATTATAGCATTTCCCCCTGTTATCTTTCAGTCTTTCTCTGTCTCTGTTTCTAGTAATTGCTTGTGATGTAATTAGTTATTGTAAATATCTTCGGAGAGGGGTTTAATAAGTTGAAAGAACTTGTCTCCGATCCTTTTCACATTGTGAATAAAATATGTTTAAACTAAACCAATCCATTGCTGATGAACTATCTCTAGACTCCATATCCGTGAAGATCCGAGTAAGAATTGATCTTCAGCAACCCATGCTTGTCTCTCCCGGTGAAAATCCGTCAGAGAATTGATCTTCAGCAACCCATGCTTTTCGCAAGTAGGGATTTACGGTTTCGGGTGGTCAGGCTCGCTGACTTGGTTGATGTGTCATTATATGCCAATTGGAAAAATCAATGACCTTCATGTCAATCACTAGATTGTCTTATTTATAGATCGCCGTTAATAGACAGAATATTACTAAGTGTGGCGTTAAACAGCCAACAAACAAACAGATAGTAGTCACAGTATTGAACCCAAGCAAATGGTGTGAAGTACAGTTTACTCCACGACGGAAGCTTTCCCACAGCTTGCCACTACTTGCCTCAATGGTTCATGTAGATTAGTAAAACGTTAAAAACTACAAAAGGTCCTGATAGCTCAAATTACCTGCAGTTGTCATGAATTATTCATTACATCGAATGTAACTGATGAAAACAGTACATAAACGCCTTGGAATGTCCCACATTATAAGCACCGAAACACATCATTGAGTATGTCGGTCTCTGCGAGTGTGCAAACAAGTTTATGTCTGAATCGACAACTGACAATGCCCTGTTCGCTGCCGGGCAAAAACTGAACGTCTTATTTCAATACAAACTGCTAATTATCAATGAATATTGACTTTTACAGTCAGTGCTGTGATATGTTTGTGTGGATGTATCGGTAATCGATGACAATATGATATCAAGCGAAGAACCGGTTACACGACTTGGAGGATGGAGACGCCTTGGATGTGTTTGGGAGATGCGTTCGTGACGAAACAGAAACTGTTTTCGACGTAAACTATTGGTAGCGGGTTAACAATCACATAAATATCAGACCATTTACTCCGACTCAGTACGATGGTCTCGTTGAAGGTAGGGTGGGTGTTTGAGGGATTAGTGTAAAAGATCTTATCTTAATCCTATTGTGTCTGTTTGATTGGGATTTTTTAATAAAAAAATGTAAATGTTTCAAATCAGCTACACTAACAACATGTTGTATTTTATCTCATGTCTTACAAACTATTAATAACTAATGTTATCCACTGATGCATTTTGCTTTTGTTTGTTTGTTGCTTGTTTGGTGTTTAACATACCAATCAAAATATGAGCCAGACAATCCAGTGATTGATATTAAGAGCAGCGATTCACGCCATCGTGAATCAACTGAATCAACTATTTATCCAAGCATGACCACCAGTTCCACTCAGAAGCTGATATCGCTTTCGGCCAAGATAGGTTGCTGTGTGCCAATTCAAACCCGGTATCCGCACGAGGTGACTGTTGCATAAACGTGAAATCAGCAGTATTCCAACTATATAAGAGAGTCTGGGCCAGAAAACCAGGTGATTGATATGATGAGCATCGATCCACGACCGGTTACAATCACACGCAGTCTACCACCTCACAAACATCTTGCCCATCCGGTACATTTAGATGTCGGTAGAATGGGTCTTCAGCAACCCATGCTTGCCACAAAAGGCGACCATGCTTGTCATAAGAGGCGACTACCGGGATCGGTTGGGCAGGCTCGCTGATTTGGTTGACATATGTCATCGGTTCCCAATTGCGCAGATCGATGCGCATGCTGTTGATCACTGGATTGTCTGGTCCAGACTCGATTATTTACAGACTGCCGCCATATAGCTGGAATATTTCTGAGTGCGGCGTAAAACTAAACTCACTCACTCACATTTAGATGTCCCCTAAAACCAGCATAGTGTCGTAGCTGCGTACAACAGTCAGCTCCTCGTATTGCCGTTTCATGTTGTCCTGGGCCCCGTTCCTGAAAGCGATCGTAGCGCTAAGATGACCGTAACTCCCATACTTTAACATAGACTTACGACTGTAGTAGCGCTACGATCGCTTTCAGGAACGGGGCCCTGGGGGGTAAGCCCGAACTCTACCCTCGCCTGATCGTCTAAGGTCGTTAAGTCAAGGAGTGAGGGGGTCGGACGACCGTGACTCCAAGCCATCCACATCACATTCATGTACGGGCGCACATTCATACAATAATTAACGCAACACAAGGTTCTACGCTCACATAGATTACTTTGCTTTTGTCCATCTCTTAAGCTACAACTCCAGTGTAAGACAGGACCCATACTGGGAAGCTGAGTGACGGCGATTGGCCTCGGTCAATGTAAAAGACCGACCCACTCTTAAAGGTATCTTTTCATATGGTTCGTTTTGATTCGTCAGAAAGTCAAAAATCTGTGCAATGAACTCCCGTTCGTCGTAATCGGAAAATACATAACTGAAAATTCATGGATCTATAAATCATCCCTCTACTACACCTATTGAGAGCATAAACATTAGCATAACCTGTTCTGTCTCGCATGATTAATGCGTTCCGCCTTTATTAAAAACGACCGCACAAAACAATCACCAACAATATACATATCTAATTTGCGTTGTCACTCGTGACTTCCCCTCTTCATTGCCCACAATGGTTGAGTGAAATGAGTTTGGTTTTCGGCCTCTTTTAGCAATATTCCAGCAATATCACGGCCGGGGGACACCAAAAATGGGCTTCACACATTGTACCCATGTGGGGAATCGAACCCGGGTCTTCGGCGTGACGGGAGAACGCTTTAACCACTAGGCTACCCCACCGTCCCCACAATCTGTGAAACAATAATGAGAATAACTAAATCTAAATCATGAATTTGTTGTAATTTTCTAATGTTTTAGGGATGCATTTCTACCTTATAATATACTTATGCCAATAATGGTTGTCACCCCCTTCAATTTTATTAATTGGAAGGTGGGGGGGGACGGGGGGGACAACCATTATTGGCATGAGAATAATACGAAAATGTGGTCTACTTCATCACAGATGTTTTCGAGGTAGGTATAAGACTTTTTGGCTAGTTCATTTAGCTCCGTTAAATCACGCAAAGCTTGGAACCAATTCACAACTCCTCGCCAAACTCAACAATTATATGAATCTTGTGTTTACCTCCTTTGATGATTGTAGAACTGTCTAGTGCGGTCAGACATAACGGCAAACGCAAATCCTCAGTTACACAGAGGTGAGGTGAGGTGAAATTGGGTTTATCGTCGTACTTGAGAAAATTTCGCTCATATGACGACGTGCATGCGTATGTATGTGTATGAGCGGCTGCTTGTACTAGCCCAGACTGAAGCTGGTTTTATAGTGCTAGCTCACTGAGATACAATGCCGCAGTGAAGCATGAATACCCCGCTCAGACACATTATACTGACTCCGAGCCGACCAGTCCTTGTTGTACCCATTAATGCCGAGCGCCAGGCAGGGACCAACAAGTACCATATTTTAACGTCTTTTGGTATGACGCGGTCGAGGATCGAACCCGCAACCTTCCGCTCCCCGGGCGGACGCTCTAACCACTACACCACGAAGGCGGTTAGTTACGCAGAGCAGACTACTGACTCCAAGCGTTCCAGTGTTCCATGTGTTATCATGTTAATGCTGGGCGCAAGGCAGGATAACAACAAGTAGCTTCTTTTAACCATATTTGGTATAACTCGGCTAGGGATGGAACTGTCGACGTTCCACGCAGACGCTCTATCGACTATGTCATGACGTCTGCCAGAGTGGCAAAATACAGATGGCCCCTTTTTCCAAAGGGACATAACACCGTTACTTAACTAGCCGGAGGACAGAGTTTACATCAGTGGACAATACGGTACCGGACAGCCTCGCCACAATGAACACTACCAAATCCACTGTCGTTCATTTCCCGACGAACGTGAGTATATCTCGTGATTACCTTGTCAGTGAGTTGTAGAACTGTCAATATTTCGCGCGTCATGGAATGTGCTCATCTGAAGCTCTGCTTTCATCAGTGGATGAACGTCAACAAATACAAATTAAATCCTTAAATACGATCAGTATAACGTGCGTACGCGTAAATCGATATCATGTTGTTAATCACAGGATTGTCTGGTCCAGACTCGAATATTTACAGACCGCTGTCATATAGCTGGAAAAGCGGCGTTAAACAACAAACAAACAAACAAACAAAAAAACTCAACACTTTCTTTACCATGCAGTTGATATGACACGCGATGGAGACGTGCCCCAAGTCAGCATGATCGTAATGGACGTTTTACAGAAACACAAATAAGAACACAATCGCCCGAACGCAACGCCATGAAATCATTCTTACGCATATCAACAGAGAAAAGTGCGTTGTTATCGACACTTCCGTGTGTATCACCGGAGCAACGCTGGCGCTGGTTTAAAGGTACAGGTGAATGGTGAACTTCCTCACCTGGGAAACACAAAGTGAGCACCCACGCCGCGACTCGGGGAGTGTGGGACGAGGAGAGTGGGACGAGGGGGTGCGACACAGGGGATCCAGGCGTTACACAGAAATATCTATACACAGGCAGTGTGTGTATGTAAGTATCGCTGTTTTTCGATCTTGAAATCATTTACTGACACATCGCTTGACTTGTACAGCCGTCATAAATTCGGGCATTCCTGGTGAGCCGTGAAGATCCAGTTTAGAATTGTTTTGTTTAGTGAGGTGAGGTGGGGTGAAATGGGGTTTAACGCCGTGCTTGAGAATATTTCGCTCATATGACGACGTGCATGCTTGTGTATGTGCGGCTGCTTGTACTAGCCCATCCTTAAGCTGGCTTTATAGTGCTAGCCCACTGAGATACCATGCCGTTTGTTTAGTAATCTATGCTTGTCGTAAGAGGCGACTAACGGGATCGGGTGGTCAGGCTCGCTGACTTGGTTGACACATGTCATTCTATCCCAATTGCGTATGTCGATGCTCATGATGTTGATCACTGGATTGTCTGGTCCAGTCTCGATTATTTTCAGACCGCCGCCATGTTGCTGGAATATTGCTGAGTGCAGCGTTAAACAACAAAAAGGATTATGCGTAAGACCACAAACAAACAGTACTGGTGAAGTGAAACACTCTGAAAAAACTGCTGAAATACTGCAACACATACCGAGCGCCAATTTCACGATAATCTTGTTATTGTAGTGAAACCCTTTATTCAGGGCGGAATCTTTGTCAATGAAAGCAACTGGACTAACACCAGTGCGTCATTTAATTACTTCATTGTCCTTGTTCATCCTGATATTTAGAGCTATTGTTAATTGTTACATACAACTACATGTGGCAGTGTTATAGATTAGTGACTTGCCACAAAAGGCGACTGTGCTTGTCGTAAGAGGCGACTAACGGGATCGGTTGGTCAGGCTCGCTGATTTGGTTGACACATGTCATAGGTTCCCAATTGCGCAGATCGATGCTCATGCTGTTGGTCACTGGACTGTCTGTTTCAGACTCGATTATTTACAGACCGCCGCTTTATAGCTGGTATATTGCTGAGTGCGGCGTAAAACTAAACTCACTCACTCACATTTAGATGTCCCCTAAAACCAGCATAGTGTCGTAGCTGAGTACACCAGTCAGCTACTCGTTGTTAGTGACTATTAGTGACAGATTAGTGACTGCAGTACTTATTCAAACACATTTTCAAAACCTCACCAATTTGTAACCATGCTACAGTTAACGATATAGATTTAAATGTTGCGGAAGTCAATGAGATTGATAAGTTTTTCTGATAGATGATAATCCATAAATGTGATACTTAATGCGCGTAGTGGTAATAAATTCAGGACAATCTTATGATAATGACAAGAAAGCTAGACAACGTATTGGATGCTTATGTGATTCAGTTGGATGTGATCCTGTCAGATATCTTAAACGTAAGAATACTAGTAGCACCGATCTGGGACCAGACAGCGTGTTTATCAACTTTTTATACACGTTTGCAGTTAAGAGATGTTGTTACCAATGCAGCCAGGTGTAGTGACTCGTAACTCTACGAACGTTTTGTGATCATGAAGCGGGTTAGAATTATGAATTTTAAGATGCTTCGGTGAAAGATCAAAGGCGCCGACGGCGATAAAATACACTTTTTGCATTACACGTACCCTTGGTAACGATGCATGCCCTTGGTAACGACGTCACGATGCATGTCAGTTGTCATCGCCTCGTACAGCCTCCTACAGTAAACTACTCCGTAACACCCGTTTGTTGGGTTGCAGCTGCTCCATGCGGCTAACATCACTGGTGGAAACATTACGTTTATATTTTTCGACGGATAAAATGTCTCAGCTCGACTCAAAATTAAAAGCGACACGTCAACGTTCGCAGTGTTTGCATTCACACAATGCATCCGTGAAATGTTGCGTGACAAGTCAGCTTCATCTGGATGTACTGATCTAAACTTACGTTGGTAGTAGAAATGCGGCGGTCATAGAGCCCCATACGGTTTACGTTAATCACTGATGAAATTAAAATTCATCAGATAAGATATTTTACCCGAATGTCAACCGTCATCAAACTGTTTATCATTATTGTTGTTTCCCTGGTAACGTACGTCTTAACGTAGGGGAGCAGACACGTAAATAGAATAGCACGTAAGTTAGCCCTGAGCGAGGATTGTTAATTTAGGTCACCGACACCGTCGTTCTAAGGCAGAAAAACGACGGTGTCGGTGACCTAGTCATGTAACTTTCCACAGATGCATTGTGGGAATGTAAACATTGCAAACGTCGCCGTGTCGCTGTTTAATTGTGAGTCGAACTGAAACATTTTTTTTCCGTCGAAAAATATAAACGTAATGATTCCACCAGTGATGTTAGCCGAGAGAAGCAACTGCAAACCAAGAAACGGGGTGTTACGGAGTAGGTTATGTAAGAGGCTGTACGAGGAGATGAAAAAACTGACATGCATCGTGACGTCGGTTACAAAGGGTACGTTCGATTACGAGGGGGCAGACTAGAATGGCGCAGTGACGCCAATACATTGTGACGTAATACAAAAGGTGTACATTATCGTCTCATAAAGTACTGTCGGCGCCTTTGATCTTTCACCGAAGCATCTTAGAGTACGCATTAGCATTCCTTTAAGACAGTAGACAGTAGCAGGGTCGGCACGAGACTAATGCTTAGTTGCTGAATATATATGATTTTGATAGAAAAAATAATTCCTTTTAAATTTAAAAGGCGCCCCAGTGAGAAGGGACATTCAGAACCTGAGGAAATCTAGACTTGCTTCGTTTAGAGCTTTAGCATTGCAGAAAGGGCTGAGCAGAAGAGAAAATAATGTGGTTCAGGGACTGTGAGACAGACTAAAGTACTGTCGGAAATAGAAAAAAAACTGGTTTTAGGCTGTTACTCTGTATCCCTAAAATTGACACAATTGCAAATAGCATATGTCGAAATAACCCACATCGGCCTAACTGGGCATTCAGTGGGATGCGTAATAGGATATCCAGAAAAGCACGTTTACTCGTAAAATTGGGCAAAACTTAGAAAAAATACCAGTAGCTGCTGAAAACAATAGATCAGACTATAGATGGCAATTAGGTCGCTCAGCCAGATATGACGACGGACCGTCGACTCACCTGGCATGAAATGCATGTGCTGCCTACAGGCACAAGTGGGCATCTCAAAGATATTTTATGCTTTATCATATGTGTTGAATATGCCTCATCTATTGATTAACATCATGTCTTTCTTTCACAGAGTTTATGTTGAGATATGTAAAAGATATATTAACTACATCAATTGTAGATATAAATGCGAAAAAAACAGTTTTATTCTATTTCCGACAGTACTTTAGGTCCACACATACAGGGTCCAATGTATACATTTAAGCATAACTTACTCATCTTGGTTAACGATTTCGCCGATCATAAAACCATCAATGTGGAAAAAATAATTTACATCTTTTTTCACCGCAGAGATTGATAATCACACGTGAAAACAGATCAAAGGTTGGTTCTCTGACCGACCCAGACTGTACTCGGTATCACGTGTTAAATGACCCGTATGTATCCGCTTAACACCACAAATACTGTTCGCAGGTTTGTATCACTTCCAGACATTGCGAGGCCTTTTTAAACACTACAATATGTTATCATTACAGTCAAGTTCACAAGAATGTAAGGCTGGAATTGACATTTATATCCTCTAACCCTACAAACTTGATACATTTTTCAAATGCGTATATAACATTGGCCCACTTTATACTTTTGAAAAAATACCACTAAAAAAGAGACCTCACTGTAAGATGAATGTGTTTGGTGTTTTTCATTATTGTAAAGTAGGAAATGAACTCCGTGTGAAGAGTTTAACTGTTTAACTAAAGCAAGACGGTATTATTTTAGCCGCCCAATACACAAACATACTTTCACACGTGTTACAAATCTAAATCAGTCGATACGTTAAGCTACACTGTCCTCGGTAGAACAGGTTTCACCACAATTGTTAGCAACGCTGGAATGTAGGCGGCCAACAGGGTGGTCGCAAGGTGAAACACTCATATTGCCTGTGAGAATACTGACAGTTATCCGGTAAGTTTGAACCGATACAACGTGAGAATTCATTATATGGCTACAGAGTGTCGAGTGAATCCTCTATTTATACTCCGTGTCAGAATTCTGAAGACAAATTGATCTGCCAAGACTTTAACGCCTGTTCTGGATTAGAGAGGTCCAGTTTTGTAAGTATGTTGCTACTTCTGCCAATGTTTACAGCCTCGAGAACATTGGAGATTGAAACACACAGCCGAGACCTAATTATATGTCTGTGTTTGCACAGAAAATGTATTACTAAGTGAGAGTGAATGAGTGAGCGGGAATGGTTTTACGCAGCATTTAATATTCCTGCATTATCACCAGAAATGGGCTTCACACATTGTACCCATGTGGAGAATCGAACCCGAACGGACGCTTTAAACACAAACCACTGGGCTACCCTACCGTCCCGTGTTACGAAGTGACATGCATAATGAGTGAGTGGGTGAGTGTAGTTTTACGCCGCTTTTTGCAATATCTCAGCAATACCATGGCGGGGGACACCAGAAATGGGCTTCACACATTGTACCCATGTGGGGAAATCGACGCGACGGCGTAACGAGCGAACGTTTTGTTTAACCCTCGCCCCGACGTGCATAGTGAATATAAGCTGTTTACTGCCACTATGTCAACTAAAAAAAAAGTACTGTCGGAAATGCTAGAAAAATGCTTTTTAGCCTTAATATCTTTATAAAAGTGGTAAATGTACTATGTTGTCAATATATCAACTCATCTATTGTCTACCTAATTTTTATTTCAACCGATTTAACATTCCCAGGCATTTAAAGGGCAGTTTACAGGAGAGAATTTGGTACCAAAACAGCAACTTAAGATTTTTTCAGAGTTCAACAACAGAAATCTGAAATAGTCTTTACATTTATGCTAATAATACAGGTGGTGTAAAAATATGAATTAACGTGTTTCTTAAACAAATAAATGTTGAATGTTTGTGTTACTTTACTTAATTATCGTTTCTTTATTGAAGAAATATAATATAAATGTTAAGTCTTGATAAATAAGTTTCCCGTCATGCATGCACATCTTTATCACAACGTCCACTATGGCCAACGATTTGCAGTCGATTGTTGCAAAGGTTTATAGTTTTTTTCTGCTTAAAAAAGACAGAGGTAAACCTTTCATTAGTTTAGAAAGGGTTTATTACAGAACTTGCAGAGCTGTTGGCATATCTTACCAACAAGTTTAAAATATTGTAAACAAATCATACAAGACAGGGACCGTCTCAAATGCAAAACCGGGACGTAAAACCATCCTTGACAACTTTGACAAGGGAGTGCTTAGACGGGCGGTCTACAAACTTTATGAGAAGAAAAATATATATATTCTAAAGAAACTACACCAGTGACTTCGTTAAATCTTTGGCCAATGTTCACAACTAGATTAAACTGTTCGAATTACATCCATATTTTTTCAATGAAATATACTGTTGACATGCAAAACATTTATTAAAACGTTGCACATTTCTACCATCAATCGATAAGATAACACAAGTCATAGGATTCTTTCCAATGTACAGTAATTCGTATGTTTATTTCAAAACAAACACACATACACAAATGATCCCTTACATAACCGATACGTATACTTTACGTACACATATTCAACATTTTGCAGAAAACATCTATTGAGATGACCCCTCGCCCGAGCGTGTGCTCAGGTGTCAATTTCACCTGTCCATACCGTGGATGCTGATGACGTAACACAGGCAGTTAATGTTTGTATCAAATAACGTCCCACTACCCCCTTATTTTTCTAAGTTTTTGGTATTTTCATCAGTAAAAGCACATTTTAGAGCATGTCTCAAAATTTATTCCCTCGGTCTACATTAGGTAGATGTTTCTTGAAGTGATATTTGTTATTTAAGTAACTGTAATACCTCTGAATTTTAAATATAAGTCAAAAAGCATTTTTCTAGCATTTCCGACAGTACTTTTTTTTTTTTTTTTTAGTAGGTGTAGTGGTTAGAGCGTCCGCCCGGAGAGCGGAAGGTCGCGGGTTCGATCCCCGGCCGCGTCATACCAAAAGACGTTAAAATATGGTACTTGTTGGTCCCTGCCTGGCGCTCGGCATTAATGGGTACAACAAGGACTGGTCGGCTCGCTGTCAGTATAATGTGTCTGAGTAGGGTATTCATGCTTCACTGCGGCATGGTATCTCAGTGGGCTAGCACTATAAAACCAGCTTCAGTGTGGGCTAGTACAAGCAGTCACACATACACATACACACGCATGCACGTCGTCATATAAGCGCAATATTCCCAAGCACGACGTTAAACCCAATTTCACCTCACCTCACTATACAATAATAATAGTCATGATGATGATGACGATGGTAGTTTTGTCGCATTTCATATTCATGATAACAACAACAATATGCATAACACCACCATGTCATCGTTGCTGATGGAGGCGGCAAATTAAATGTTGTCATACTGAAACTGTGGTTATCCTCCCCTTAAACAGCTGTGTATTTTTGTACTAAAGAGATGTCTGTCTGTCAATGCCATACCCTTGATGTAATTCTAAATATCTTTCGAACATAGGGGCGGTGGAATAGCCTAGTGGTCAAAGCGTTCGCTTGTCAAGCCGAAGACCCGGGTTCGATTCCCCACATGGTTACAATGTGTGGAGCCCATTTCTGGTGTCCCCCCGCCTTGATATTGCTGGAATATTGCTAAAAGCGGCGTAAATTCCTACTCACTCACTCACTGCCGAACAACTTTTCTTTCTGATAAGCTCCTTACCCCAAGGATCTGTGGATAAAGATATATAAGGTACCAACTCCTATACTATTGTCGTCAAGTAGGAAGCTAACTGTGTATGGGTATCCGTGTATTCCAATCACTGCAGGCTGACAATACACACTTCTTTCTTTGAAGGTGCTACCATGATGCTCCCGCAGTGCTGCACCGTGATCGCTGCGATATTTGCAGGCAAGTATTGCACACATGACTTACAAACTGCCGGGCCAAATATAGTATGTATTTGAAAACTGACATAAAATATATATATATAAAGAAAGTGATGAGAATACCGAGCGTACAGTAGTCCATATATAAGAAGAAGTTTCTGAAATAATCACACGACACGGATCTTCTCCAACATGTTTCGCTTTTATCTTCAAATTTATTTTTATATATATACATATAATTGTAGTTGTATTATACACTGCAACAGAGAGCTTACATTCATAATTATATATATATAAATTATATAATTATATATAATATATATATATAATTGTAGTGGTATTATACACTGCAACAGAGAGCTTACATTCATAATTATATATATATAAATTATATAATTATATATAATATATATATAAAATTGTAGTGGTATTATACACTGCAACAGAGAGCTTACATTCATAATTATATATATATAAATTATATAATTATATATAATATATATATAAAATTGTAGTCGTATTATACACTACAACAGAGAGCTTACATTCATGTTTAATGGCAGCTATAGAAGAAACAAAACAAGATATCAAGAATATCCTGTTATCCGATTGTGATGTATTTATATATATTCTTAAGGGTGAAATACTGTAAATATTGGTGAAAATAAAAATGGTATTTTCACTGAGTAGAATATCACTTTTGCCTGGAACTAATAATAAGAAAGTAATAATAGAATACGTTATAAAATACAGACTTACTCGATGTCTCGATCATTTATTAACAATGATCAAAATATAATAAATAGATTATTTTGTTAATGTTGTCAAATAACATGGATATTTCATCCCGTGGCCACGAGTGAACATATCAACTTTGTCAGACTACGAGATGAAATATACATGTTATTTGACAACATTAACAAAATATCCTCTATATACATTTTTAATACATTGAAATAGTCAACAAAAAAATGAAGTAAATAAATAAAAACGCACAGTGGAGCATACATAGTAGTATATGCGAGAAATAAATATGAATACATACTTTAGTAACAAAACAAATTTCTCAGTGGTTCAATATATTGACGTAAGTCCATACTTAACATCTGTTATATTTGGGGTAACACTTTCTTAGTAAAGTACAAATTCTAGTACTTTTTTGGGTTGAGTCCCATCTGGGATTCGAACCCACACCCTCAGAGTCAGGCACCAAATCGCCAGCACACAAGACATTGGTCTAAACGATGAAGCCTAGCTTCTATCATAACCACGTGTGTAATGAGATTTCTCATTGTATGTTGTATCATCCTTGTAAGTTTTATTTCAAGTGTGGGCGGTGGGGTAGCCTAGTGGTTAAAGCGTTGGCTCGTCACGCCGAAGACCCGGGTTCGAATCCCCCCATGGGTACAATGTGTGTAGCCCATTTCTGGTGTTCCCCGCCGGGATGTTGCTGGAATATTGCTAAAAGCGGCGTAAAACCAAACTCAGTCAGTCAGTATTTCAAGTGTTTGTCTTGCAAACGTATCCTCATATCAGACGGAAAAAGATTTAACATTTATATTTAACAAGGAACTGCGTTATACAGTTGTACAAAAGGATATCTGGTTGAATTCTGTCACAACAGGAAGGAAGGGATGGCCTTTGTTGTTACTGTAGACGTTTAGATAACATTCATCCGTCAAACTGCATATACAATGTCCTATGTAGTAATGGGGGGAGGATATAGGTCCTTATACAACTGGGTACTGGCCGCTGTTCATAGAATATCATAGTTTTCATGTCATGTTTTCAACTGGCGAAGGAAAACATCTAATTTTCCTTTTCTGATCCGCATGGTAAGTTGGACTGACTGACTGACTGAGTTTGGTTTAACGCCGCTTTTAGCAATATTCCAGCAACATCACGGTGGGGAACACCAGAAATGGGCTTCACACATTGTACCCATGTGGGGATTCGAACCCGGGTCTTCGGCGTGACGGGCGAACGCTTTAACCACTAGCTACCCCATGGTAGATGGATGTGTGTGTTGTGGGTAGGTCATAGGTAATTACAATTCAACAGTAGATAGAACAGCACAGCAAGCAATTAGACAACACGTCAGTATATTATTATATTCTCTTTGCAGTGAAAACGTACCGATGAATTTCACTTTAAAAAAAAATAAAAATCGAATAAAGTGAAATTAAGATTGCGAATCCTCATTATTTCACCTTGTCAATTGAACATTTAAATCTCAGAATTTTATTCAACTTAGAATCAAAGTTGTTTAACAAACAATCATAGTTTCAAATCGCTATTATTGGTTGGGCGGTGGGGTAGCCTAGTGGGTAAGACGTTCGCTCGTCACGCCGAAGTCCCGGGTTCGATTCCCCACATGGGTACAATGTGTGAAGCCCATTTCTGGTGTCCCCCACCGTGATATTGCTGGAATATTGCTAAAAGCGGCGTAAAATCAAACTCACTCACTCACTCACTCACTATCATTGGTTTGTATTACGAGGTGTTAAGCGCAGTAGTTGGAACAGTGAAACAAATGCACGTGCGGTACGTGATGAGCGTTAACTTAGACCAACCCTACTTGTTCCCGGTGTTTCATTTATGTGAATACCCTACTTAAAATAGACTTGCAATAGTTGGGGACGAGATAAAACTGTTTGGAGTAACTGGCCTTGTACTTAAAATAAACTTTCAATGGTTGTGCAACTTAAACCGTTTCGAGTAGATAGTCCCGTATTTCGAGTAACTGGACCCGTACTTAGGATAGACTTGCAATAATTGTGGAGTTAAAACTGGTTCGATAAACTGGTCCAGTATTTTGAGTAAATGATCATGTACCTAAAATAGACTTGCAATTGGTGTGCATTTATATCCTGGTTTATTGAGTTTAGTTTTACGCCGCACTCAGCAATATTACAGCTATATGGCGGCGTATACCCTGGAGATTATCGAGGATGTTGTTGTGGACCTAACACTGTTTCGAGTAAGTGGTTCTTTACTTAACATAAACTTGCATTAGTGTGTTTCGAACACCTGGTACTGCTAAGACTGATTCGTGCATATATGCCTTTATACATACTGGGCTGTTCGCTCGTTCAACTCACTCTATATATTCTTTTGCCTTTTCAGTCTTCTCACTATCAGTACAGACCGCGTCTGGGCAGTCAGCCGGCAGCATTGACACATGTAGACTGACGACGTCGTCTGTCGAAGAACAGGTTGTTACCGACGCTGTATCGGGCTTCAAATATGTATGGGCGACGCAATGTGGTTACAGCAGCACTACACCAAGTGTCCCCAGTATAGAAGTGAGGGGGACGACTCACGTCAGTGATGCGGTGTTACAGAAGGTAGGACCACTTCAGTCCCTTAATTACTCGGTAGGGGGCGGTAGTAGTCTAGTGGTTAAAGCGTTGGCTCGTCACCACATGGGTACAATGTGTGAAGCCCATTTCTGGTGTCCCCCGCTGTGACATTGCTGGGATATTGCTTAAAGCGACGTAAAACCATACTCACTCACTCACTCACTCACTCATCTTCGTCTGTTCAGGGTATTCTGTTGCTAATCTATGATGATAAAACCGCAGGTCACATATTCACTGCTATATTTTTATTTTCATCCCAAGTCAAGCACTACGCTAAAACTAGACGTTCAGTGAATGTGAGGTAATGGCAGGAGCGACGGAGGCGTGAGACGTCACTTCCGGAACTTGGCCAAAAAACGAATGCTTCCAGGGTATTTACCGAAACAAAATGTCCACGACACCATGGATAACAAGTCCAGCGTGAATATGGTTTTACGTCGCTTGCAGCAATATGTCAGGAATATCGCGGCCCTCAGCGTGACCCACCAGCTCTTTCACGCACGAGAACTTAGCGGTTCAACTTTACCGTGTCATTCGTAAAATACTCTCGATAGTTCTTCCAAACAGGTATCTCGTATTTAATCATGTACCTCCAATTAAAGGAGTTTGAAAACGAACATCGCAGTGATTTTTGGAAGCCAAAATGATGGGCCATGGAAACGACATACGTTTATGTTGTTTTCGACCACTGCTCTCTTGAAAAGTTAGAGTAAAAGACAGTTTCGTTACAAACCATGCAGATAATCCTGAGTGAGTGAGTGAGTGAGTTTTGGTTTTACGCCGCTTTTAGCAATATTCCAGCAATATCACGGCGGGGGACACCAGAAATCAGATAATCCTGAAGAGAGGAGGAAGAAAAATCGTTTTATCACATTTGAAAGATAAAGATTTTTGGAAGCCAAAATGATGGGCCATGGAACCGACATATGTAGTTTCCGACCATTGTTCTTTTGAAAAAGTGAGAAACAGTAAATAGAGCACTAGAGTAAATAGAGTATAAAAAGGCCGGGGTCATGCACAGGGTATTTGCTCAGATCTTTTTAACATTATGGAAAGGGTTTTGTCCCATTCTACTTTCAGGCAGCTCGTCTCACTCACCTGATGGTGTCATTCATGTCGCCAACGCTGTTCCGGCGTGTTGCTGCTAACGTTGCTGTGGGGATCTACTACCGCCGCACCGAGGACCCCTCCGTCTTCCCCGAGTATACGCCGACTCCAAACTGTAGAAGTAAGTGTGTCATGTATTTAGCCGGCACTAACGACACGTTTAGGGTGATGGGTAGTCCGTCACACAGACCCTGAAACAAATATATCCAAGAAAGCCCATGCAAGTCTAGAATACGTGGCAGTCTAGATTTCAACAGTTTCAGAAAATGAAGAAAGTCTCAGGGCTCCTTTTCATTATATTTTATTTGTTTTTACTATGAACTTTTTTCTGTAAAATATGTTCATTTCAGAGACTAGTTATTAGTCTAGGTGATGGGGGACTTCCGGAGATAAACTGAACAACGTGCAGAAGGAATTGGGATGTCTTCCCGTGCTCGATTGGATGGAGTGAGTGAGTATAGTTTTACGCCGCTTTTAGCAATATTCCAGCAATGTCACAGCGGGGGACACCAGAAATGGGCTTCACAGATTGTACCCATGTGGGGAATTAAACCCGGGTCTTCAGCGTGACGAGCGGATGCTTTACCACTAGGCTAGTGGATAGATCGTCTGTCGCAGAGTGGATAGTCGCAGGTTCGATTCCCAGCTGCGTCATGCGTAAAGACGTTAAACAATAGTATTTGTTATCTGGCGGGCCCAGGGTTCTGCATGGAAGACATGCATCATGGACTGGTCGGTTTGGGGTCAGTAAAGTGTGTCTGTTAAACTGCGGCATGGGTGAGTGAGCGAGTTTTACATCGCATCATCATTATTATTTTATCCATATAGCGACGAGAACCGGCCGTGTGGTACCCCTGTATCATTGTAACTGCCCAGCGCGCTGCGTGTTTAAAACCGCACACAGCAATATTACAGGTATGTTGTGGTGATTTGTATATGAACGAGTTTGGACTAGACAATACAGTGATCAACAGCATGAGCATGGGTCTATGCAATTGGGAACCGATGACATGTGTCAACCAAGTCAGCGAGCCTGACCACCCGATCCCGTTATTCGCCTCTTACGACAAGCATGGGTTGAAAAGACCAGTTCTAACCCGGGTTCTCTATGAAAGGATAAAAGGGGCACTGTGTATACGGAGCATGAGTGAGGTTCAATGCTACGACTGTGGTATCTCAGTGGACTAGCGGGGCGGTGGGGTAGCCTAGTGGTTAAAGCTCGCTTGTCACGCCGAAGACCCGGGTTCGATTCCCTACATGGGTACAATGTGTGAAGTCCATTTCGGGTGTCCACCACTGTGATATTGCTGGAATATTGATAAAAGCGGCGTAAAACTAAACTCACTCAGTCACTCAGTGGACTAGCACTGTTTTATAGCTAATATACATGGAACTATCATGAAACGGCCCTCCCATTATCAGAAATTTGCGGGCCGCTGCAAATGATATTGGACCGCTCAACCTTAACGACGGGCCACTATCAGTTCTGTTGTCAAGTGACGTCATAATGGGTGTGTGAGCTTATTGAGTTCATTCGACATTGGCTTTGGGCTGGCAGATATTCTGGGTCAAACAAATCAAAGCAACCCGAATTCCCGTTTTAAATAGCGGTAATATTGGCTTTCTTGATGGTGCTAACCTCAACAATTGCACTGGACCAAAACCGAACAATGACATAGTTTGACATGTTGCAGGCTATGGTCTTGTCAAAGGCCAAGGTCGAATATCGTCACTTTCTGTTGTGACGTCACTTGAATTGTTCGATGACGTAATTGCATTCGGTCAGTCAACCCCGTCAGAAGTTGATTTGGAGTAAACTTACAGTCAAATTCCTTCATTGTTTCCTTTTTCTTTTCAGCACAAATTCCATGTATTTTAGCAATAATAACGGTAATGCTATTTTTGAGGGCATTATCATTTGCAGAAGGCCTCGGTCTTTTTCAACTGCACTCCTTCGTCGGGCAGTTAACGGAAGACCTCGGGAAACAATGAAGGAATTTGACTGTAAGTTTACCCAAATCAACTTCTGGCGGGCTTGACTGCCCGAATGCAATTACGTCATCGAACAATTCAAGTGACGTCACAACAGAAAGTAATGATATTCGACCTTGGCCTTTGACAAGACCATAGCCTGCAACATGTCAAACTATGACAGTGTTGGTTTTGGTCCATCAACAGTCTTAATAGTGCAATTGTTAAGGTTAGCACCAACAAGAAAGCCAATATTACCGCTATTTAAAGCGGGAATTTGGGTTGCTTTGACTTGTTTGACCCAGAATATCTGCCAGTCGAAAGCCAATTAATGTCGAACTATGACGTCACTTGACAACAGAACTGATAGTGGCCCGTCGTTAAGGTTGAGCGGTCCAATATCATTTGCAGCGGACCGCAAATTTCTGCAAATGATAATGCCCTCAAAAATAGCATTACCCTTATAATATCGACATTAGTCCAGGCGGCTCGAAAAAAACAGTCACACACAATTACATGCACATAAGTGCAGACATCCTTGCACACCGTTCAACTCATTTTCCACGACCCACCACATGCACCTACATGGGATCACGCGTACCCCTAACAGCATTAAGGTCTTCCCCTCTGTTCCAGCTACCTGTACCGGCAACTGCAGCCTCACCTGCTCCGACCACGGCCTTCCTGTACTGTACGAGGTCGCCTACGGTGGCCGCTTGGTCGTTGTGCCGGCTCAAAATGTCGAATGTTCGAGTACGAATCCCAATCACTATGAGAACCTCCTCGTGGCGGAATTTAGTAGATCCCTTTACAAGTATGGCCTCACGGAGTCTCTCAAACAGAAGGTAATATATACCCACAGAAGGTAATACATGTAATTAGATTGTGAAACAAAATTTCCCTAAAACTATCACAAAATAAGTCCAATCTAAAACACCTTGTTTGTTGAATGCAGTAGAATGGAAACTGGCAATGTCTCATTTGGCCAGTACCGCCTCCGTGGTGTAGTGGTTAGAGCGTCCGCCCGTAGAGCGGAAGGTCGTGGGTTCGATCCCCGGCCGCATCATACCAAAAGACGTTAAAATATTGTACTTGTTGGTCCCTGCCTGGCGCTCGGCATTAATGGGTACAACGAGGACTGGTAGGCTCGGAGTCAGTATAAAGTGTCTGAGTGGGGTATTCATGCTTCACTGCGGCATGGTATCTCAGTGGGCTAACACTAAAAAACCAGCTTCAGTCTGGGCTAGTACAAGCAGCCGCACATACACATACACACGCATGCACGTCGTCATATGAGCGAAATATTCTCAAGCACGACGTAAAACCCAATTTCACCTCACCTCACCTCATTTGGCCAGTGATAACGACATTGATAAATGAAGTGCAGCAGGGGTCTTCACTTGCTGTAATTTCGAACCCCAACGAACAAAGCGAAATCGCTTTACATGATGCAAAGATAAATAGTACGACTATCACCCACCCCTGCCCGGAAACCCCGCTATGACATAACAGTTTCTATTATAGTACACCGAGTTCGACTTTTCGGCCTCGTTAATCGCCTCTTACGACAAACATGGATTGCGGGGTCCCGATCCACAAAGCGGTCGTAACGTTACGACCTGTCGTAACTCTGCAGTTTATTATAGGCTTTCGAATGTCTAAGCGCTACGAACGTTTTGTGGGTCGGGACTCAGAAGACTACCTCTAACCAGCATCCTCAAAGGGCGAATGATGGACTGGATGTCGGGAATACACGGACTACACCGCAGTGAATAATGATCGACTTGATGTCGGGAATACACAGACTACACCACAGTGAATAATGATCGACTGGATGTCGGGAATACACAGACTACACCACAGTGAATAATGATCGACTGGATGTCGGGAATACACAGACTACACCACAGTGAATAATGATCGACTGGATGTCGGGAATACACAGACTACACCACAGTGAATAATGATAGACTGGATGTCGGGAATACACAGACTACACCACAGTGAATAATGATCGACTGGATGTCGGGAATACACAGACTACACCACAGTGAATAATGGTCGACTGGATGTCGGGAATACACAGACTACACCACAGTGAATAATGATCGACTGGATGTCGGGAATACACAGACTACACCACAGTGAATAATGATAGACTGGATGTCGGGAATACACAGACTACACCACAGTGAATAATGATCGACTGGATGTCGGGAATACACAGACTACACCACAGTGAATAATGATCGACTGGATGTCGGGAATACACAGACTACACCACAGTGAATAATGATAGACTGGATGTCGGGAATACACAGACTACACCACAGTGAATAATGATCGACTGGATGTCGGGAATACACAGACTACACCACAGTGAATAATGATAGACTGGATGTCGGGAATACACAGACTACACCACAGTGAATAATGATAGACTGGATGTCGGGAATACACAGACTACACCACAGTGAATAATGATCGACTGGATGTCGGGAATACACAGACTACACCACAGTGAATAATGATAGACTGGATGTCGGGAATACACAGACTACACCACAGTGAATAATGCGAAAAGCGCTACCTTTGTCTAATTATAAACTACCCATCAAAAGTTTAGACTCACTTAAAGGTGAGGTGAAATTGGGTTTAACGAGAATATTTCGCTCAGTTGACGACCTGCATGCGTGTGTATGTGTATGAGCGGCTGCTTGTACTAGCCCAGACTTAAACTGGTTTTATAGTGCTAGCCCACTGAGATGCCATGCCCACTCAGACACATTATACTGACTCTGAGCCGACCAGTCCTTGTTGTACCCATTAATGCCGAGCGCCAGGCAAGGACCAACAAGTACCATATTTGAACGTCTTTTGGTATGACGGGGTCGGGGATCGAACCCGCGACCTTCCGCTCTCCGGGCGAACGCTCTAACCACTACACCACGGGGTGGTCAGACTCACTTAAAGCACTCACTATATGTTATGCATATATGTGTGGTTACATCGAAGATGAATTTCTCAACTAACTTTGGGGAACCAACTGCAAACTTTATGCAGATGCATTAAATTGCTAAAAAGCATGTGCAAATATCCCATTTTTAACCCATGACAATCTTTTCAACGTTACGAATTTGTTTTACAATACATCAGTTCATGTGTAAACAGTACCTTTAAACAGTATGGAAAAATTTGCTAAATGTAGTTTAGACGAGTTGACTTAAGTAAGTGGCCACATTTACACTAGTGAGTCTTAACTTTTGACGGGGAGTATAACTAAGCCATGTGTCGCTGTTATGAGCTTATGCTATATGTGAAAATAGTCAAGCTATATGACTGGACCAGACAATGCTGTGATTCCCCTAATGATCATCGAACGAACAATTGGGATACGATGGCATGCGTAAATATTAACTGTGAGCTCTCACTGTTTATGTTGCCGTCTTGTTTTCGATACCCATGTTGCTGTCAGCCGTATACATCACCATACGGTAACATCATCATTAGGTAACATCATCATAAGGTAACATCATCATTAGCACACATGGGTACAATGTGTGATGCCTATTTCATGTGTCCCCCGACGTGATATTGCTGGAATATTATTAAAATCGGCGTAAAACTAACTCACTCACTCATCATTAGCTACAGCATTCTTGCGTTGTAATATGTGTTCGGATTACATGTTTAGAGTAGGTGAGAGTAGTCTAGCGGTCTCAGCGTTGAATAAACGCACAGATACAAGGGTTCAATCCACACATGTAAATTCCATTTTTGGTCATTCTTCCACTCACAGTGAAAGGGTATTGCTGTACACCACTTTGCAATCTTCCACCAAAAATATGCTTCATACGTTGCAGCCATATGTGGGTCGAAACCGGGTCTTCCACGTGACGAGCGAACGCTTTAACCACAGACTACCCCACGATCCCGTCCCCTCCTCCCGGATGTCATCATACCTGCCTCACTGTTTCAGGTGCTTGACGCCAACATGGACGCCCTGTCTGCCTGGGGGAGGACGATTCCGGTGATAGACTACTTCAGACAGGCGTCCCTCGCTTGGTTCCAGTCCACCAAACTGAACTCGGCAACAACATGTAACTATACTGGTGTCTTTGTATCGCTGTACCTACCCACCTGTGTATCGCTGTACCTACCCACCTGTGTATCGCTGTACCTACCCACCTGTGTATCGCTGTACCTACCCACCTGTGTATCGCTGTACCTACCCACCTGTGTATCCCTGTACCTACCCACCTGTGTATCGCTGTACCTACCCACCTGTGTATTGCTGTACCTACCCACCTGTGTATCGCTGTACCTACCCACCTGTGTATCGCTGTACCTACCCACCTGTGTATCCCTGTACCTACCCACCTGTGTATCGCTGTACCTACTCACCTGTGTATCCCTGTACCTACCCACCTGTGTATCGCTGCACCTACCCACCTGTGTATCCCTGTATCTACCCACCTGTGTATCGCTGTACCTACCCACCTGTGTATCCCTGCACCTACCCACATGTGTATCGCTGTACCTACCCACCTGTGTATCGCTGTACCTACCCACCTGTGTATCCCTGTACCTACCCCCCTGTGTATCCCTGTACCTACCCACATGTGTATCGCTGTACCTACCCACCTGTGTATCCCTGTACCTACCCACATGTGTATCGCTGTACCTACCCACCTGTGTATCGCTGTACCTACCCACCTGTGTATCCCTGTACCTACCCACATGTGTATCGCTGTACCTACCCACCTGTGTATCCCTGTGCCTACCCACATGTGTATCCCTGTACCTACCCACCTGTGTATCCCTGTACCTACCCACATGTGTATCGCTGTACCTACCCACCTGTGTATCCCTGTACCTACCCACCTGTGTATCACTGTACCTACCCACCTGTGTATCGCTGTACCTACCCACCTGTGTATCGCTGTACCTACCCACCTGTGTATCCCTGTAGCTACCCACCTGTGTATCCCTGTACCTACCCACCTGTGTATCGCTGTACCTACCCACCTGTGTATCGCTGTACCTACCCACCTGTGTATCGCTGTACCTACCCACCTGTGTATCCCTGTACCTACCCACCTGTGTATCGCTGTACCTACCCACCTGTGTATCGCTGTACCTACCCACCTGTGTATCGCTGTACCTACCCACCTGTGTATCCCTGTACCTACCCACCTGTGTATCCCTGTACCTACCCACCTGTGTATCCCTGTACCTACCTACCTGTGTATCCCTGTACCTACCCACCTATGTATCCCTGTACCTACCCACCTGTGTATCCGTGTACCTACCCACCTGTGTATCGCTGTACCTACCTACCTGTGTATCCCTGTACCTACCCACCTATGTATCCCTGTACGTACCCACCTGTGTATCCCTGTACCTACCCACCTGTGTATCGCTGTACCTACCCACCTGTGTATCGCTGTACCTACCCACCTGTGTATCGCTGTACCTACCCACCTGTGTATCCCTGTACCTACCCACCTGTGTATTGCTGTACCTACCCACCTGTGTATCGCTGTACCTACCCACCTGTGTATCCCTGTACCTACCCACCTGTGTATCCCTGTACCTACCCACCTGTGTATCGCTGTACCTACCCACCTGTGTATTGCTGTACCTACCCACCTGTGTATCCCTGTACCTACCCACCTGTGTATCGCTGCACCTACCCACCTGTGTATCCCTGTATCTACCCACCTGTGTATCGCTGTACCTACCCACCTGTGTATCGCTGTACCTATTGTTATTGTTACACCTGAAAAAACTTAAGGCTCCGCCTCTTAGTTTATTGTCACATATTCAGACTCTCCTATATTTTGTAATCACTAGTATCTACCTTTGACACTGGTCTCAGTTTGAGAAATTATGTTACTCCCAATATCTTTTGTAAAGTAGGTATACTTGTTTGTTTGTTCGATTTTAAAAGATGGTTATTTTAAATGGAAATATATCGATATGTGTATATGTTTTCAAATCTTCCAGACGGAATGAACACGTGTCAGGGCTCGGCGTTGTGTCCCAGTGAATGGTTCTCCAGAAATAACATGAAGCAGAAAGACAACAGACTCTATGATGCCCTCAACGATATATACAACAACGATCGTGCTTATATTCACGGGGGCGTTACACTGTGCGACTGGTGATGTAGCAATATATCCACCGTGCTATCTGTGGTCACAATTCTGGGGACGATTCAGCAATAATAAACATCGCAGAATCACATGATGATGTCAACGACTAACACAATATATCGGCCATTCTTCACGGGTTTGCATCAACTTAGCGAAGTCATTAAGAATTGAATGTCCACTTTGTGTGTTTGCACTGAAAAATGAATGATGTCAAAGCGTTGTTCAAACTCGTGTGAACGAGCGATTTAACGATTTGACATCCTTCATTTTTCAGTGCAAACACACAAAGTGACATTCAATTCTTATAATTTCGCACTTTGATGTTTACACATACGTTTTTTACCCACTTCTACATGATCATTGTTTACAGTGGTGTGTTTTAATACCTGTAAAATGTTGTAATGTCATTCTGTTCAAGACCGTATTGTAGCGATGTTTGTATACTTGGCGATTTTTTTACACATGTATCCAAAAGTATTCCTTAAAATATTACAACAAATTCATCAATAGGTTTGAAACTGCTTTAATAAGCATAACATCAATAAAATTATCAAACAGAAACAAATATCAATAACAATATCATTTTAACAAACTGTCATTGTACCTATAAAACTATGACGGATTCGTTTGACCGCGTAATAATACACTGACCGACTTCGAAGTTGTGCGGCGTGGCGAACAGGAAACAGATCTCGTTGGTGTATTCTATTTATTTGTGATTGTTTATTGTGAAATTTAATGAGCAGTTTTTAAACAGATCACAGGGCAGAACCCGCAAACAGCGAGAGATTAAACTCTTGTTATAAGGAACAATGCTCGGCAACTGGAAATCCGTTTGGTCGTGAAGAAGCGACATTGCCAAAATTGGGATGACTTGAAACAGGATCGCTCGCTAAATTGTCATCACCAAATGCAGCAAGATCATTGGGGTTCCTTGAAACCGTAGCGGAAATTTGAAAATTAGGTCGCACTGGCTGGGACTTGTTGTCGGACGCGTTGTCAGTCAGATTTTAGCAAAACTGTGCTCAGTTGGTGCTTTTTGTTACATACAAAAACAAGTAAGTGATAGGTATAAATTAAAACGAATGTGAATGCAAATGATTTATTTTGTTTACGTCAAGCTGGACAGCGAGTATTCTGGGGAAAACCCGGAAAGTAGTTCCGGCAAAAGTTCACATGACCAAGATCGGCTCGAAAACGTTCACACACGTATGAACGATTTGAAGGGTTCAAGGGAAATGTACCTTGAAATTTAGATCACATGACCGCTCTCTCAACCAACCAACGTTCGGGAATCTGTGTAAACTTCAAAGTACGAAATTATTTAAGAATTGAATGTCCGTTTGTGTGTTTGCACTGAAAAATGAACGATGTCAAAGCGGTGTTCAAACTCGTGTGAACGAGCGAGTTTACGGGGCAGAAAACCGCCGGATGAACCCGCAAACTGCGAGACATTAAACTCCTGTGAAAAGGAACAATGTTCGGCAATCCGTTTGGTAGTGACATTGCCAAACTTGGGGTGACTTGAAACAGGTTCGTTCGCGAAATTGGTATCACCAATTATTGGGGGTCCTTGAAACCGAAGCGAAAAACGTTCACACACGTATGAACGGTGTTTACACAAGTATGAACGATTAGAGGGGTTCAAGAGTAATGAACCTTGAAATTTAGATCACATGACCGCTCTCTCAACCAACCAACGTTCGGGAATCTGTGTAAACTTGAAAGCACGAAATTATTCACCCGTGAATACCAATGGATGAAGACACTGCAGTTGCCACGCGTGTGTTGATTCGTCTGTTCCTGACCCTGTGTAACCCATGCGTGACATTCGTGCGAATCCTGACGCTGTCTGACTTTAAAGCAGGTGGCCGCATGCTGTGGCACGTGCTGCACGGGAAACATTGCCATTAGACATGGTGGGGCGATGTTATCTGTGTGTTGATTGGTCGGAGCATGCGATGGTTTCCTCTCGCTGAAATCAGGACGTGCAGTAGTTAGCCATAAGTGAGTCATCATTATATTTTTCATTGACTTACATGTTAATTAATTGTTGCAAGATTAATTTTCATAAATTGAGTAGAAGTCATTTTATTTTGATATTTTGCAAACATCTTGGAAATCATCTTCAGCTACGTGTACATAATTTTCTTTCATCTTTCCGTTGATTAGTTATCGAATAACACCCGATTATGCACCATAAGTACAACTTAATTTTAATCTATCCCATAACCAGCTATGTTAAACCTGATTGGTATGTCTAATATATGTTGTTTAAACAGTTGCAATTTTCTTAATAATCATCGGAAAATTGAATGGAAATTATGTGTATGTAGCTGAGATGATTTCCCAGCTGGAAGATAAGCATTGAAAGCAATTTGACAGAAACTAAATTTATAAAAATTATTCTTGCAAGAGTTAATTAACATGCAGGTCTATGGGAATTTCACTAATGGTGACTCACTTATGTCCAACTACTGTACTTTGATCCCTTGGTTGAACCTGACGGCTGCGCTTCCTGGGGATCGTATGTTCTCACACATGATGGGTGAGGTGAGGTGAAATTGGGTTTAACGTCGTGCTTGAGAATATTTCGCTCATATGACGACGTGCATGCGTGTGTATGTGTGTGTGCGGCTGCTTGTACTAGCCCAGACTGAAGCTGGTTTTATAGTGCTAGCCCACTGAGATACCATGCCGCAGTGAAGCATGAATACCCCACTCAGACACATTATACTGACTCCGAGCCGACCAGTCCTTGTTGTACCCATTAATGCCGAGCGCCAGGCAGGGACCAACAAGTACCATATTTGAACGTCTTTTGGTATGACGCGGTCGGGGATCGAACCCGCGACCTTCCGCTCTCCGGGCGGACGCTCTAACCACTACACCACGGAGGCGGTCACCTCACACATGATGGGAGAAAGACGTCGTTTTGATAAATCCTGAAATGACGTGACAGTACTTATTGCAGTGTAACTAACTAACTAACTAACTAACGCATAAGTCCTAAACGCACTAACACACGGAAGCATTTATATGTTATACAACTTTAAGGATAGCAAATGGAGTCCGACGTTCGCTGCAGATTCATACACCGTTGTCAAACTCAGCTCAGTTTGATAACAGTATAAGAATCTACACTAGTAACACATCTACTTCTATGCAATGAACAAGAAGTTGTTACCCTTTACGTTGTATGTTTCATATACACCCCATCTTCGCAGATAGCATTGATATGTTGGCCCATGGTTGGCCCATAATCACCGGTTTGGTTGGCCCAAGTAGTAGTACGATGATGGTACTGCCGCAGTTGCGGCTTAGAGGCTTATTTGTGGGAACTAAGCTTAAGTGGAAGTGGAATGACGTCATAAAACTGGTTCCAGACATCCTTTGCGCTACTATAGACGGAGCCGAGCTTAGTAGGACGATGCAATCTCAGGATAGACCCGTTAAACCGAGCACTTGGCTATCAGATCCTCTGTGGCTCAGTCGAACGACTACTGGGGTACAACCAAGGTGCAGAGATGCACAACTCTGTCACTGAGGGTTCGAAGCCAGTCGTTCAAAAAAAAAATACACGGAGCTCTCAGGGAGAGCGTAGTCGACCACAACCCCACGGGAGAAATACCAGCGCACCACAAACATCAGACCAGAGACCAGGCTGGTCTCTGGTCAAAACACAATTTCTCTCTACATGGGCTGTGGCCACAGAGGGCTTTTGCTATTTTTATATTTGAACTTTTTCCTTTTTTTCAAACGTAGCCGTAATAGTCAGCAACGACTTTATGGAGTGGGTCTGCTATGAATCTTTAATAAGGAGGAGGTAATACTGTGTTGTGAGGGACGATCATCAATTCCTCTCGGACAAATCCCCTACCCGGTCCGTCTTGCAAGTAATACAGATTCGGTTCGTCGTCTTTGATATGCACTCGGTCGATGTGGTACGTTTTCATGGACCATACGGGGTCTGTGGCGTGGCGTTTATACCCTCCTTCGAGTTCACCGGGCTGGTACAAATACCTCACAACTACCTGGTTCGGTAGTTTTTTCTCTTGACCGTGATGCGATTCGAATTGCTTCGAGGGGTCTTTTATCGAGGAGTTGAGTGACTTCGTTGTTGATCGCTGACACCACTCGCGGTAAGCGTATCACCTATTCCGTCGATCCTTTTTTCTGGGTTGACCATCTCTCGGGCATACTGATATCTGAACAAACGCTCTTTTCTCTTGACTGTGACGCAATTCGAATGGCTTTGACGGGTCTTTTATCGAGGAGTCGAGGGACTTCGTTGTTGATCACTGACACCACTTGCGGTAAGTGTACCACCCATTCCGTTGATCGTTTTTCTGGGTTGACCATCTCTCGGGGATACTGATATCTGAACAAACGCTCGGCTAAAGTCCTGTTACATCTTTCAATGATGGCATGGCTTCGGTGAGCTCCGGCCACCCCTCGTCTCACCTCGACTTCATGCTTTGATAACAGCTGTGACACGGCTCCCATGAACTAGCGTCCAGGATCGACTTGTAATTCGGTCGGCCAGGTCAAGCGACTGCGTTTGTAGATACGTTCCAAGCCCTTAGCGACTAGACTCGAATCTTTGGTCGTTAACGGCTCTGCTTCCTTGTAGCGACTGGCAACATCCACGACGGTCAGGGGGTACTTGTACGGTTTTTTTCTAACCCTGTCGTGCGGGAGAAACAGGAGGTCAGCTTGATGGGTACGATTGGGTATGGTTATGTCAAACTTTCTTCTCGGGATGTGTCGGGGAGCTGGCAGGTACACTTGCAAGATGGCTGTTTGTTTAAGCCAAGCTTTGGCGGTATCCTTGGAGACGTTAGCAGCTTTGGCTAGCTTTGGGATGGCGCTCACACCTTTCCAGTAACCCCGAGGGCTGTAGTACACCTTCTCCATGATGTATACACGCTATCGTTCATTCAATTGTCTCGACGCATCGAGTGGAGTTTCCTTTATTGGGGGTCTCGGAAACTCCCAACGTGTCGAGGCCTACTGTTGATACCCATAGCTATAAGTGTGGATGCCATCATTCGCAATCCAACGTTTGGTATCTCGGGGCGACAGCATGGTCTTGTTGAGAGTGATGCTGTAGATGTTGTGTTTGTCGCTTCTCACCGCGTTAATGGGGTGTTTGAACGTGCGTTTATCGAAGAGAGCCTGTTTGAAGAGGGTGTGTTTGATGTGTCGTTTCACCACGTATTTCTTGACCCCTTTCGATTCGGCTT